TTGATATTCTGATGAGATAATTCATTTTCTTCGGGTATCTCATGTCTAAAAAAATATGTAAAATATGTGTTAACAAGTTGAAATAATAAATGAATCTGAATATTGATCGACACCTACCTATACGGACATTCATCACCACGTGTACATGTCCCTTTAACAAAAAATGAACAAATATGTGGTCTATTACGTTTATAATAAGGTTCCGTTCTAGCAAGCTTCTTTAACATTTCTCGACTAGCTGTATCAGCTTTGCCATAATCAATTAGACTGTCACCACCTGCGATCTATTAAAATTGAAATTTATTAAATAAATCAAGTTAAAAAACAATTTTTTATTTTTTTTAAGAATATCCTACGATACCTACTTTCCCTTCAATATTCTGAGCAAAATATTCCCTATTAATTTCGGATCTAGGTGCATCATTAGTAATATTAAGAGCTGTATCCCGGACTTGTACGGGTAGATTATATTGTAAATCCAATAAACATGTCTGACAAACATTTTTTAATTTAGCACAGGTTTGACAAATCTCTGTTTTTTTGTATCGCATTCCAGCTCCGGGAAGCCATCTAAAGATTGTAAAGGGACGAGAACAAACCTGAAATAATAATTGATTTATTTTAATTATTAATTATCGATAAATAAAAGTATTGAGAAGCCACTTACTTTACATTCTTTTCCGAATCCTTGTCTTGTCTGAATATAAATTAGAAAAAAAGAAAGAGAATGAAATAACTTAGAATACCTTGAACTCCTTATTAAATTACATATTTACCATTCGAACGTAAGGATTATCGCCTAGACAAGTTTCGCAAAGAATTGGAAATTCCTTTGAAAGAGTAGAGGGTAAATAAGCGATGTAAACCACATTTTTTTTAAAAAAAAAAGACGTTGAACTTACAGATTCTTCCCAGCCCTGTTTATTTGGATCTGCTTTAGTGACCATTTTTTTAAAAAATCTGAATTTTAGATGTAAGCAATTTATATCAAATAACACGTGATTAGACGACCATCAGATACACGTGACATCTTAAGTAATGAATTGTTATTACAGTATTTCATATAAAAAAGTGTATTTTAAAATTCATTTATTTATTTTATCAAGTTAATAAAAATAAATAAATAAAACAATTAATAACATTAATAATAAAAAAAATGATTAAAAGATTATGCGAATAGAAGAGGATTTGTCATGGCAATATTAAATAACCTTTTGCTATTCAGAAATGACATTTTGATCAGTCATAATGCTAATGCATTGAGATGAGAGATCTCAATATTATTCCAATTAGGACATCTAATAAGAGCAATATAGGCTTGACCAGGTAAAAAAATATTTCCATCTAAAACAAGACAAACCTTCGGTAAAGTTAAAGATGTTAAATGGTCCTAAACAATCCTAAAAGTTCCAATAAATTTGCCAATTCTAGAAATGACTTTTATTTTACTGGCATTATATTTTATATGATTTTTCACATTTTTTTTTACTTTGTGATATGTAAATTGTGTTATATTTCTAACGAAATTGAACAGTTGTTACATCAAAATATTTGTTGACTTCTTATGAAAATTTTTATAAACTTATAAAAGTGCTAGTTTAAGAAGATCTTGTTGAAAAATCATTTATTATTTGATATATTTATTATATGAATAATCGAAACTTTTTAAAGCTTCTTTTTTTATGTTTATTTAATATTTTTCAACTACTTTTATTTAATTTCAAACAAAAAATTACATTATTTTTAGAATAAAAACACACTTAAGTACAAATATAAATTTTTTTAAAATATTACAAACAAATAAATTTGCAATTATTCAACTAATTATTTATTTATAAAACCACTTAAAAATATATTTAAAAATATTATTTGATTATTTCCTACAATAAATATATAAATTTTATTATTGTTTATATTAAAAATTAGAGAAATTTTAAGAATAACCTAAAATTTACTTGAATATTTACCTTTTCTACCTTAATAAAACTTGTTTCTTTTGCTAAATTATAACATATATTATTAGTTAAATATTATCCAATAAACATTTTTAAATTAAAAAATCAAATTTTTTTTAATTTTTTTACTAAAAAATCAATTTTTTGCATTTTATACAAAAACTATTTGAATAATTACCCTTACAACCTAAGAAATTATTTTTCCTCATATAAAATTATATTTATTTTAACTGTCAAAATCAAACTTTTTGTAATTGCAAAAAAAAAAAAATTTTTAAAGTGGTGAATTATTAAAATAAATTAATAGAACTTATGACATTTTATTAATTACCTAATTTGTATAAACAGTATATATTAAAAAGTTTAATGGTTAACTATAAGGCAAATTTTTCAATTACTATTACACAAACAAATTTAATTATAAAATTGATTTATATACGACATGTCTGGCTACTAATAACATATGCATTGCACTTTTCGTACTATTAAAACAATTTTTAACACTTTTTGCATTTTTTACGTGATCTAAATTGAATTTACTATTTAAGGAAAATTAACGTAAATCTGATTATTGCTACCTTTTTTTTAACAAAATGGTATTGACATTGGAGAGATTATCAAAAGTTTCTAATTATCAAACTCATTTTCGTTTAGAAAATCAAAAATTATATTGTAAATTTTACAAACATGCAGTTAAACATGATCGAAAGTCTGTTTTAGAAGTTTTAGAACCTCATTAACTCATTTAAAAAAGAAAAGAGAAATAGAAAGTGGTGCTGAAGCTTTACAAACAACTATACTAAGTATTTATCAAATTAGATCAGAAAAATAAGAAATAAATTTGCATCTTGTTAAAGCATTTACTAAAGTTAATATTTCACTTGAAAAGGTTGATAAATTCAAACCTTTTTTTATAAAATATTGTAATAATGGTAAGATTATTTATATATATTTGTTTATTTATTTGTCTTAAATATTTATTACTAATATTAATAATTAAAAATTAAAGGAGAAGCAGTTGTTAATGCAAACCATTTATGTGAAAGATATTTATCAACTGTTTTTGAATTAGCAAAAAATGTATTAATAAATGAATTAGCTAATCAAAGAATTTCTATAACTATGGATGAAACAACAAATAGTTGTAGGAAAAGTGTGCTTAATATATTATTTAATTATCATAATAATACTAAATTAGTAAATACCATTTTTTTAGAAGTTGTAAATTATTCAACAATTGCACAAGCTTTTGTTAATACTATTTATTCCTATAATATTCCTTTTACCAATTTAATATTTTTTATTAGTGATAATGTATCATATTTGAAGAAAACATTTAATAGTATTTTATTTCCTTTAATATCAAACTTATTTCATAACACATGTTTTGCTTATATTTATAATCTTGTTGGTGAAACTTAGGTGGATTTTGAATATTTTAAATTATTAGATATTGTAGTAAAACATATTAAAACTTTATTTGTATACTTAGCAACAAGAAAAAGAAGATGGAGAGAACATTTAATTTCAAAATCTATTCTTTTAAATACAAATGAAATTTTATTTAATGAAGAAAACATACAAGATTTATTTGCTAATTTATCTCTTTTACCTATTAAAACTAGGTGGAATTCTTGGTTTAAATTTATAACTTGGATGAAGAAATATTATCAACATTTTATTACATTTTTTATTGAAAAATCTGCAGAAAAAAATTCTAATGCTATTAAAAAATTAAGAAAATTTTCAGAATCAAAGTCCAATTTTTTATATTGATATTTTAATTAAATTTATTTCATTTAATGCATAAAGATAAATATTAAATATTTAAATTTTTTTTAATTATTTTATATTTATTTAAATATCAAAATTAAAGTTTTTAATTTTTAGATTAATGTTAGATATTAAATTTGTTAAAATAAAAAATCTTGCTATTACACCTTTTGTTATTTTAAGAATTATACAAATAAAAGTTTTTTTACAAAATGGAATAAATAATCCACTATTTAATATAGAAATAACACAATTATTATCTCATATAAAGATGAGTATCATAATTAAGAAGTTGCAATTCAGTAAGTTACAATTTGAGTTGCAACTTGGTTGCAACTCCTTGTAAATTTATTTTAATATAAAAATTCATAAATAGTTGTAACTCAAAGTGTTACAACTTAAGTTGCAACTAGTTAAAATTTTTAAAAATAATTATGGAAACCATCTTTAATCTTATAGTTATAATAACTTACTTCAATTTTTTCTGAAGCTTTTAAAATAGCATTGAAAAAATTTGAAAAACATGTAAATTTTCATTCTACATTACTATTATTTAATGCTATTCAATGTTTTAATCCTCAATTTATTCAATCATTTCAAAATAGACATAATTTAGTTAGTTATAATTTAATTACAGAATTTCAAAATCCTTCTAATTCTATTATAACTGAATAGGCAATTTATTGTGGTTTATCAGAAATTTTCGAGGATGGTGATTTAGACTTAAATCAATATTGGCAAGAAAAACAAAGAATTCTTCCGAATTTATCAAAAGTTAGCATTAATTTATATATGGTTACCTATTTCGGGAGTTGATGTTGAACATAGTTTTTCCAATTATAAAAGAATTTTAGATAGACGCAGATCACTTTCAGAGAATTCTAGAATTTTTTATATTATAATAATCAATAAAATTAAAATTTTATATTTTTACTATATAAAAATTTATTTTTGCATATATTGCATTTTTAGTAATTTTAGCATCGCACGAACCCGTGGGCTCTAATGAAGATCCTGGTCTATGCATTACTGCGTTTCTACACTTTTATAGAAATATTGCTCGTTAAACTTCAAGTTCCTTTGGTACAGATACGCGTCATGTTCCTAAACAACGTTTTATGATCAAAAATGGTATTAAATAATTTTAAATAGTATTTTGGTCAAGTTGAGATTGGACCATTTCACAAGGTATAATATATATTGGAGATTTGCTGCGGCACGAGATTCTCTCTAATCTTAAAATTTTTAATTTCAAGTCGATTGTCGGACCAAATGGTTCTGGAAAATCTAATATCATAGACGCGCTTTTATTTGTATTTGGACATCGTGCAAGTAAAATTAGGCAAGGAAATTATCAGGACTTATTCATTCATCACAAGGATGTGAGAACCTGGTTGTTTGTAATGTGGTTGTGCATTTTGAAGAAATCCTTGATACGGTAAATGATTAAAGTTTTAATTTCCCAAAATACAAAAAATTAATCACATAATGTTCAATAATATTATAGCATGATCCAGATGATTATGAGCTTAGGTTGTACCTCAATCTCAATTGGTTATCTCGCGTCAAGCTTTTCGCAATAATGCTAGCAAGTATTTCATTAATGGACGACAAAGCAATTACACTGAAGTTACAAGTCTTTTGAAAGAATTTGGATAATAAACGGTTTCTAATTTTGCAGATGCTTTTTTTATTTATTTTTTTTTAAAAAAAAAATTCGTCAAGAGGTAATTATTAACGTGTTGACATCATCAAAATTTTGTGCATAAATTAATAATTAGGGAGAAATTGAATCAATATCTCAGATGAAGCACCAAATAAGCATGAAGATGGACTCTTAGAATTTCTTGATGACATTATCGGAACTTCTAAATATAAAATCCCACTTGAAGAAGCAAATGAAAAGCTTGAATTATTGGATAAAGAACATTTATGTAAATTAATCGCGCTAATATAGTTGAAATGGATAAACAAAGTTTAGAGGTAACATATTAATCAATCGCGTTTGTATGCATATTAAATAACAATTATGATTCTAATCTTATTAATAATAAAGGCCAAGAAAAACGAAGCTGAAGAATTTCTCCCGAGATGAAAACACGTTATCTTTGAAGCAGTCTGCTCTGTTTCAAAATAATTTGTTAAATTGTAAGAATAAGACTCCAATATTAATTAAAGTCATTAGATTAATAACTTATTCAGACAAGCTAATTTAATATGACGATTAATTTTATTTATGAATTTTTAGAATAAATTAAAAGATCAACTAAAAGAAGAAGAAGATAAGCGTGTTCAGATAAAACAGGATAATAAAGATCTCGAAAATCAATACAACGATTCTGTTAATGCCTTTCTGGTAAAATAAATTATTTTAATTTACATATACTGTATATAAACTTTCATTAATATAGATAATTGTATTTATTTTAATAAGCAACTTGAAAAAGAAGCGAATGAAATTCTAGAAGAATTGGCAAATCATGAAAAAGAAGATATTGTCCTGGATGAGAAAAAGAAACATGCAACTTCTAAACAAATGAAAGTCACAACGGCAATTTCTAGGGTAGGTTATATTAATTTATATTCTTTTGATGCATATATATATATTTCGAGGACATACAATAAACCTTTCATTATAGGGTCGTCATGGACTTTTGGAAGCGAAAGCAGCGATACGATTTCATGAACAGGATTGAATGATCGAGCGGAAGAAATTGTGGGCTTGGAAAGGTCTTTAGAGGCTCAAGAAAGCGAACTTGAAAAAATCATAGAAACCTTAAAGGGTAAGAGAATCGATTATTTTAATCCAATTTGTAAAATTTTTTTTTTATATTGTAATTATATTGAAATTGGATTTAATCTTAAATAAAGTCAAGTCTGAAGTTTATTCTAACCAAATTGAAAAAAGAAAAGAGAACTTGTACCTTGGTCAGCGAAGATCAATGAGAAGCAATCTCGAGTTGATATCAATGAATTTGAGTATATTATTTTAAAAGAGAAAGTTGATTCAATAAAACAAGATCTTAAACAAGCAGAAGAAGATGCTGTCACGCTAAGAGAATCATGTCAGAACAAGGTATTATTATAAGGAATCAATTTGCTTTTTGCTGATCAATTAATCATAAATGAACTGCTTATTAAGGATCAAGAAATATCATCTACAAAGAATCAAATCAAAGACTTGAAACGAAAAATTCAACAATTGGATACTGATTTAAAGGTTATTATTTAGTTAACATTTAAATTAATATATTTGAAGTACTTTAAGATAATCATAAATATCTTTTATTACTTAGCATTACCTTAGCCAGCAAAAAAATCTCAGATCTAGTCTTGCCGATTCTCAACGAAGAGAAGAGGTGTCGAAAGGTTTTTTAAAATCTTCTCAATCTAGAGGACAAATTCTTAGCAGCTTGATAAATCTCAAAGATAATGATTGTATAAGCGGAATATACGTAAGTTCGCCGGAGCGGAGTGTTC